AATAAGATGAAAAAAATGAGGGATTCAATCAAAGAAACGTATCCAAATCTTTTAACATATGGGTGTTCTGCACATTATTTAAACCTTTTAGAAAAAGAAGTAACACACCCAGATGTCATCAAACATGTGGTTGAAGTGCAGAAATATTTTCGTAATACACATCAACCGCATGTAAACATTATTTTGTATTTGTGGGTTAAACTTAGAGTATAAAAAATATATAAAAGTTTAAAATTAACTATTCAATTTTTATTTTAAGGGATGGTTGCGTGAGAAAGGAGGGCATATGCCTCAGTTACCAAACGATACTCGATGAAACTCCCAAATTGACTGTATAGAAACATACATAAAAAACTACCAAATTTATGTAGAAATAGTAGATAATCATGATATACCTATCAAAATCAGAAAAATTATTGAAAATCGAGCAATATTTAGAGAAGCTAACAGTCTTCAAACCCAACTCAAAATATTTGGTGTTGTTTTAGATCAAGTATTTAATTTTTTTATATTAAAGTTTTTTTACATAATGAGATTTTGTAGGTGTAAAGAAAAAGTAATAAAAATAAGTATATTGAGTTGATTAAATAAATTAAAAATTTAATTTTTTTTAGATGCAAAGTGACAGCTGTCACCTATCCGAATGTGTTGAGTTGTGGCTCTCACTTTTGAATAACCCTGAACTAAGTCATTACCACACAGCTATCAAAAAGAGATGTAATGATGCTATGACACCTATCCATTATCTTGCGACCAATCCTCGCTTTTTGGGTAAAAATAAGTTTTGCTTAAAAAAAAAATTGTTTTGAAAAATTTCTGAATTTTTTTTTTATAGGCAAAAACCTGCCGATTGAAAATGAAGATGAGGCTGAAGAATGGCTTTACAATCATTATCCTGATTTTGTACCTGGGTTGATTTTCCTTAAATTAAAGGATTGTGATGCATTTTCTAAAAGGATGTTGAGTAATCAAATTATATCAACAATATTGTGCAGTGATTGGTGGTCTATCATTAACCAGAGAAATGAAAAATCAATTCAGAAAAAATTGCCTGAAGGATTTTGCAAATTTATTTCTAAACTTCAAACGTGCCCTGCTAGCTCAGGATCGATAGAAAGAATATTTTCTTCATTTGGTTTTATTTGGTCAAAAGTTAGAAATAAATTAGGATGTGAAAAGGCTAAAAAGCTTGTGCAAATATATAAACAGTATCAAAAATAGTTTATAGTTTATGTTTTTACATTAAAGTTTATGCTTTTACAATATAAAGTGAATATTACATTAAAGTAAAGTTGTACTTGCAAGAAGTATACCAAAAATGTAAATAGTCTTGTCAATGTGTATCTATTCTAAAAAATCTTATTGAATGAATCTAATTTGTTTGGTTTCCAAAATAAAATTGTGTTAAATAAAAATGTTGTGTTTAAATTGAAAATTTCCCTTTATAGCTAGCTCTATAATATGTTTATGTTTTCAGAAATGTTGGTTAATAATAGCATATATTATTAATATAATAGTTCATAAGTTTTTAGATATATTTCAAAAAAACCCAGATTGCCTGGGTTTTATTGGGTTTTTTTAGGCGGGTTTTATTGGGTTTTATTGGGCGGGTTTTATTGGGCGGGTTTTTTAATGCCAACCCTGCCAATATCTCAAAACACCCCCGTCAAATTTTTTTTTTTTTTGCTGTTAATATATTCAGCTGCTTATAATCTTACTAGGCACAAAATATCTAACTGGAAAAACAACTGAAACATATAAAACTTTAATATCTAAGATGTATTACTTTTTCAAAAAATTCCCAAAAAATGTTTGTAAATAAAATAAAAATAAGTTAATCGTAATTTAAAAATGTATTTAAATATACAAGATTTTTCAAGATGCAAGTTATTTTGACTGTGTTTGTAATAGTTCACAATATTGCTCCGATGTTACTTGTACTTCTTCTATTTCAGCATTTTCAAACATATAGTTTCTACCGGAACTAGAGCAAGCTTGTGGAACAGATAGTTTTTTCAATATGTTGGTGTAAGGAATAAAACAGTAGTCCTCTCTTTCAGGCCAGTTAAAACAGATTGATGGACTTTTTGGGTGAAGAAACTTAACTTTAACATCAACTTCTTCTAGGTTAGTTTCAGTTACAATGCCGATCCACCACTTATCATCATAGACTACAGCTACATAACCTCCTAAAGTGACAGTATCAAGTTGAAATATATCTTGTTTCTTTTTAAGGTTGTGAATTATTGTATAATTAGTGTCTGTACTACACCTTTTTGCCCCAACCCTGTTATCTCCAAGATGTATAAATTGATGAAAGCTACGAGTACCAGGTAGAGTTGTTACACCAGTGTACCTTTCTTTTTGCTCCTCACGTTGCAATTGTAAGTCTATCCCCTTTATGTAAATGAAGTTAACAACCTTGATTTTCTCAATACAAAATTCATACATAGCTTCAGATGTGAGAATTTGGTTTCTGTATGGTCGTTTTAAACTTTCTTGTGCTGTTAACCTTTTTACAGTGCCGCCAATCCCATCGCATGGTGACTTTCCGTGTGATGTGGCAAAAAAATTCCATTCAAATTTAAGGGAAAATTCGCTCTCTAGTTGGCATAGATTGTAAAAGCTTTTACAATTTTTGTACTGTCCTGCGCAACCATCAGTAAATAGATGTAATTTGGACAGATTGGAAAATTTTGTTTTTAATATTGGTATGATTAGTTGAAATATTTTGTACACATAAGTTACATCATGTGTAATGTCGTCTGATATAAAACAATAAGAAATATGTTTCAGTACACCTTTATCATCTTTATAGTATATCACTAATGGATGTAAAGAACATTGTTGGGTGTTCCAATGATAGCTTTGTATTTCATCTTGGACTACAAAAGTATAATTTTCAGCAAAGTCGCCAATAATGATAATGTTTGATTGATCCATATTTTGTTTTAGTTGGTTAAGGTACTGTGATTGAGAGTGAGCAATAAAAGAATGAGCTTGTAGCTTTTCAAAGCAAGATACTAATAGTTCAACAAATGTTGAAACATCTGCTGTTAAACTCAATAGTGTTGCACGATCAGTAGTTTGCCATTGCTTGTAGTGTATCTCAAAATCATCTTCATATTCTCCGAAAATCTCATACATATATTTGGTGAGGGTTTCTTTACCAGGACAATTATCACACTGTGCAAGCATGCATTCTTAGTTTTCTACTGAGCAAACGGTTTTCGAAAGTAAATCCTTATACTTTAGTCCAATATTTAAGGCATCTACTAGCAATATGGCATTTTGGTGATAAAAACAAACACAAACAGAATGTGTACCATTTGCACCTGGCAAAATGCACCACTTTGGTCTAAGTGAAGCAAATTTTGAGTAACTTATTTGTATTTCTGGATTGTTTTCTTTGTATAATACATATAGTTCTTTTAAATTACACAAAAGCAGTTTTTTTTTGTTTATGGATATTCTTTTGAATGCTAACATAATCTTTTTTTCCAGACATAGTTCTACATAAATCACTTGAGTCATAAAACAATTTAACAGAATCTTCTATTTCTTTGTGTAAGACTTTACCTTTATACAATGGAGAGATAGCTAACAATCCTTTTTTATTAAAAATTTGTCTAGCCATTTTTGCTTGGTATTCTGTAACTGCAAAGTTATTTTGTACTTCTAATATCGACCAACTTGGGGGTGCCAGTGTTAGAAGTTGAACAATTGTCCTTTTGTCAGAACATAGAATTTTTTCTTTTATCAAGCTCATAATTTCATCAAAGTTTTTAGCTTTCTTTTTTATGTTATTTGTTTCATAACACAGTTTTGATGGAACATTGACTTGACTTTCAGTTTTTCTAGTAACGTTATTTACTATTTCGTTGATGGGCGCAATTTTTTGCATTCCTTCTGAGAGAATATGTTTTGATGACTTTGAATGAGATTTTAGAGGTGATATATTAAAATTTTTGAGTTCTTCATTGATCTCCTGTCTTTTTGATTTGAATGATGGTATTAGAAAATCCTCATCTTGTTCCTGGCTTTGTTTCTTTTCTTTAAGATCTTTTTTTATGGCAATCTTTTGCTTACAAGGTTTGCAAAGTTTCTTCCCAGGAGCAATATTCAAACTACTTCTCATCATGGCTTGTGACTCATTTATTGTAACTACTATGAGATTTTCTAAAAGTAATTGAATTGTATAAAGCTTATCTGCACAATTGTTCAAAACATTGTTTATGTTTTAGAAAATACAAATTAAAAAAGTATATATATATATATATATATATATATATATATATATATATATATATATATATATATATATATATATATATATATATATATATATATATAATATTTAAATTCTACATCTATTTACTTGTGATTTTCTTTGTATGTTTATTGAATGGATCACAACATGCTTTCTGCCATATAGGATACAATTTCAAATGTTTTGTAGTATGTCTTTCACATAATATCGTTAAGTTTGATAACTCAATGTTACAGCGTAATGATATATTTTTTTTTTCTTCATTGCTTAAAGTTTCAATAACATGTTGTTGGTTATTGCATTCATCTGATGTCAATAAACCAATAGAACACATCTTATAATAAGTTACTTAGTATGAATGTATTTCCTAAAAAAAAAGGAAAAAATTGTTCTTTTCTACATAATTTTGAGTAAAAAAAAATGAATATAGAAATAATTCAAACCTTTTCAGAATCCTTTTGTTGTATAATTTTTTACATTGATATTGTTAATTTTCTTTATAAATACTATATATATATATATATATATATATATATATATATATATATATATATATATATATATATATATATATATATATATATATATATATATATATATATATATATATATTTATATTTTAGTGTGGGTTGAAAAATTTTTTTTCAGAGTTGCTAACCTGGCTATGGTCTAGACAGTTGTTTTTTTATGTACTAATTTAGGAAAGTATTTACTTTTATGGATTGAACAATGTCTTCCACCCGCAACTATAATTACAAAAATTAGAAGGCCCTATTATTATTCAAAAAAAAAGTTTCTCAAAATTATGTGATGTAGATACTCAAATAGAACGAAATTTTACAAAATTTCAAAAATAATTTTTTCATATAAAACTTATTATTTTAGATTTTATTGCATAATAACTATAGCTTTTTAACTAAAAGTGAAAAAGGTGCAATTTTACATGTTTTTTACTAACAATTTTTTCGGCTATATGATTTTTTTAAAACGATTATTATTTTCGAATTTTTTTATAAAATTTCGCTTCTTTTGAGTACCAGGTTGATCTACTTTTGAAAAACTTTTTTTTTCCAAAATATTAGGGTACCGGTAATTTTCCCAATAAAGTTGCGCCCTTCAAATCTATCACAATCATTCTCATATTTGATAGTATCAATATTAATAACTATTAGCAATGTTTAGAGCCTGTAACAAGAAATATATATATATATATATATATATATATATATATATATATATTATATATATATATATATATATATATATATATATATATATATATACATATATATATATATGTAAACGTATTTATGTATGTATATATACACTAAAAAATTTTTTGAAAAAAACACTGTTGATAACAAAATCACAAAAATCATCAATAAAATCAAAAATCAGTTTCGAAAACAATAACAATATAAAAAGTAACATATACATAGTATACATTAAAATAGTTACATATGTACTATATATTTTATTAAAAGTATTATAAAAAGTAATATATAAATAATAATACACAACATACAATAAAAATGCATAAACTTATAGAAATATTAATGAATTACTAAAATTTTTAAGCCTTCATCTTCATCTTTTGGTTTATATTTTGAAAATCGCTGAAAAAGCATACATAGTGACCATTCATTATACAATGTTATTCTAAATTAAATTACACTAAATTACATCTTTTTTAAAGTAATTGCTTGCTAAATTATATCATTAGCTAATTGCTCCATTTAAATAATCACAAAGCTTAAAAGTAAAATATACACATTCTTATTCTCAACTTTACATTTATAAAAACCTGTTTTAATAAGCTAAACAGCTGTAAAAATATTTTAGTCAAAATGACCTAGAACTTACTAAAACTTACTATGAACTTTCTAAACTTACTTAGGAAAATGCATGTTTGTTTTAATTATTTTCCATTTTCAAATGTTTTTTTTTTTAACTTTGGTTTTTAGTTGTTTTGTTTCTTTTCGCTTTTTTTTTCTCTAGGTTATTTTTTTGATTTGATTTTCAATATGTTGAAGACTATTTTTTTCTTTTCTTTACTCTCCTTTATTTACAGTAGTGGCCATTGAATTAAGACACCTTACGGTTTTTGGATAAATTTAGTATAACTTTGAATGTGCCTCTTAAATATGCAAAGTATTATATGTCAATGTCGTTAAATGAATCAAATTAAAGTTTTTCGCATATCTTTGTTTAAAAGACGTCATCAAAACTTATAAAAGTTCTTTTTTTAAAGTAAATAGTAAATAAATTAAATAAAGTAAATATGGGTAAAAAGGCAGATATGAGTAATTTTGTTAAAGGTCAAGTCATAACTTTGCATGGTAAAGGGTGCTCACAAGTTGTCATAAGTAAATGTCTAGAAATATCGAGATGCTCTGTACAAAACGTTATAAAATTGCATGGGAGTTGAAAATTGTCACGACGTTCGCAAAACTACACCCAGTGATGGTGGATACCTGAAAAGTATTGTGCAAGCCAGTCCTCACACTTCCTCTGCCTGAGTTACCCAACTGGCCACAGAAAGAGGCATTAAAATTAATGCCAGAAGTGTTCGCAGACGACTGTCTACAGAATTTAAACTGCATGCACGTAGACCAGCAAAGAAGCCATTTCTCACCAAGAAGCAGCTTCAGGCACGTGTGAAATTCTGTCATGAATTGTGTGGACTACTGTGATGTTTACTGACGAAAGTTTCATGAGTGGTGGACTACTGTGATGTTTACTGACGAAAGTACTTTCCAGCAGCTTCGTGGTTCAGGGTACAATTATGTTCGTCGACTGGTAGGTGAAAGACTCAATCCTAAATACAGTCTGAAGACCGTTAAACATCCACCATCTGTTATGGTGTGGGGAGCTATCTCAGCTAAGGGTAGATGTGGAATCCACATCTTCGGTAAGGGCAAAAAGGTCAATGCTGCAAAGTATATACAGGTTTTAGAGTCAAAGGTTAAAACACATATGAACATTTCTGAAACTACCATCTTTCAACAAGACTCAGCACCATGTCATACAGCAAAATCAGTCAAGAAGTGGTTTCATGACAACGATGTGCAACTTTTGAAGAAATGCCCCTCAAATTTCCCTGATTTGAACATTATTGAAAATTGTTGGAACTTAATAAACGCTTAATTGTCAGCACATCGTCCAATGTCAGAGGAACATTAAAAAGATTTATTGAAGCAGGTGTGGGTAAATGAAATTACCCCAGAGTACTGTGAAAAGCTTGTAAAAAGTATGCCTTCTCAAATACAGGCTGTATTGAAAAATCGCGGTTACCCTACGAAATACTAAGATTTTGAGACTTTTTGTTGATGAATTTTAAAAGTAATGCTGCTATATATGTTTTAGAACATTTTATAATTCTAATAGTACATATAATACAATTTCACGAAAGAGAAACTGGGCTTGCTTAATTAAAACTGCAATTCTGCTAGGTGCCTTAATTCAATGGCCACTACTGTATTTTCCTTAAAATTAAACTTTTTTTTTTGTTTTTTTGTTTTTTTAATAAAATATGTTATAAAAATGCATCTGCCAAAACAGAAGTTTTTGCATTGAATGATAAATATCTGAATATAAAATATCAGTATGGAAGATGAACAACAATAAAGTTGTAATTATTAATTGTATATTCACAAATAAAATACATAAGCATAAAAAAAACACACTCCAAGCTAAATCCAATGTTTTCTGTACATTCGATTTAGCTTGGAGTGTGCTTAGGTATTGAAATAATAATATTTTGTATACCATATTCTAAAAGCTACTGAAATATTTTTATTTTGTATACCATTTTATACAATTATATACAACTTACTAAACGCAATTAAAATATTAATACATTGCTATCACTCAAATTGTCATTTATTGAGTCATTGCTCAAATTTTGTCAAATTTTGAAAGTGGAAAATAATTAGTGTACTTTTAATTATTTTTTTTAGCAAACATCAGATTGCTGAAAAAATGATCACTATAAAAACCAAAGAGATATTGAGCCAACATAAACCACTATAAGTTTTTATAAGCACTAGTTATGATTAATGTTAAAATACCTAACAGGCTTACCTTTCGAAGAAAAAAAAGAGAATTTCTGATTGCAGCAATGTAGCATCAGAATCATCAAGAACAACATCCAAGACAAAAAAAGCATTAGCAGAAACCTTAAAAGTAAATATTGCACACACACACAGATATATATATATATATATATATATATATATATATATATATATATATATATATATATATATATATATATATATATATATATATATATATATATATATATATATATATATATATATTTACATTTATATATATATATATATATATATATATATATATATATATATATATATATATATACATACATATATATATATATATATATATATATATATATATATATATATATATATATATATATATATATATATATATATATATATACACAGGCCTTGCGATAAAGTGTCGGGCGATGTGAATTTTACGTCGTCCAAGAGCGATTTTGCGTGTAGCTAGGGCTATTTGCGTCGAGCAAAAAATTTTTTGTTTGAGTATATTTAAAGATATTTTTGAGCGGAATTTTAATGAAGTAATTTACGATTATTTTAACATTTAATAAAGTATTTTAAAAACCGCACGCTGTTGATATAAAAGTTTGAATTACAGAAAAATTAAATATGCTTATTATTTACAAGTAGAAAAAATTCAGATTGAAAAAAAAGTTTAAATCTTTTTAAGCTAACATTTTAATAAAATTATTCAGCAATAGCAAAGTTGTCGATAAAAATGAACAAAAATACTTTCTTTTAGTTTTAGATTTTTAACTTAAATAATTATTTTACAGGGGTTTGTTAGGTTTTAAAATTATTCCATAGATTTAAAAATATTTATTAACTGTTAGACGTATTTAAAGTATTTAAGAGTAATTTCGAGGAAATATTTTAAAAATTGGTAAGCGCCAATAAAAAAAATTAAAGGATTAATATTAAAACGTATTCTACTTGATTCAATAAGAAAGTACAGCTATTAAAAGTTTTGTAAAAATCGATACTATCGATATCGATAATATCGATATCGATAAATCGATAAAAACTCGATAAAAATTACTTAAATAATAACGATCGCTTTTTTGTTAAAAGTTACCGAAACTCAACGAAGCGTGCTCAAGAACAGCTGCTGAAAAATAGAACGTCAATAGTTTTTCAAATAATTTTTAATAATAATTTTTTCGCTGAAATATTTCTTTTATACCTATAAGATTTTTATTCTAACATTTTATTTTATTTTACTAGAAATAAAATTCTTTGTTAACATTAAAAATTATTCAAAACGTTCGTTTAAGTTTTTTATTAATACGAGTGATTGTGCTTATCAACCGCTTTTTGAAAATAAATAAAAATAAATAAATAAATATTATATAAAATCGCTTGTAAAAATATTAGCTATTGCACAGTTTTTAATCGTACAATATTAAAATTTCCAGTTTATTACTCGCTGACTTTTTAAAAAGAAAAAATAATTATTTGAAAAACTTTAAATTACATATTTAAGAAAAAAAAAATCAAATATTAGCATATTTTATAATCTTTTTTAAATTTAAGTTATAATGTTTTTTATTCGTTTAGTATAGACAAAACGTGACAAACGTCGAGAAAATAAACAAATGTTTTTACATTTTAAAAAACGAAACATTCCAAAACATTTTTAAATAATAACATTTCTACATAAACGATTTAAAGTAGTTTTGCGGTAATTAAGTAAATTGGTGCAGTTAATGTTGATAAATATGAAAAGCAAATAAAAAGAATTTAATGACGTCAAAAATCACGTCGTGCTTATGCGTCGCGCAGTTCTTATTCATCGCAAGGTCTGTATATATATATATATATATATATATATATATATATATATATATATATATATATATATATATATATATATATATATATATATATATATATATATATATATATATATATATATACACACATATATATATCAACCCTCAGACCTAACTGCCGACCTCAAAAAGATTGAGGTCGGCAATAAATTGCCGACCTCATTTTTCTTAATTCCGAGGGTTGACATATAAATATATATATATTTTTTTTACATAAATATATATATATATACATATATATATATATATATATGTATATATATATATACATGTAAATATATATATATGTATATATATATATATACATGTATGTATATATATATATATATACATATATATATATATATATATATATATATATATATATATATATATATATTTCAGAATATATGAATTGATTGATTAATTGATATATACATGTATATATATATATATATATATATATATATATATATATATATAATATATATATATATATATATATATATATATATATATATATATATATATGTATATATATATATATATATATATATATATATATATATATATATATATATATATATATATATATATATATATATATATATAAATATATAGGCCTTGTTTTCAAGTGTTACGCCTAGAGCGATTTACATAAGCCTTAAGCGATTTTTACGTACGCGTAGAACTGTTTTGGTTAAGCTACTTTTTATTATTTTTTATTTTATAAATTAACGATAACATAAAAAAAGTAATTAATTTTCAAAAAAATCACATTAACTTTTAAATAACGATATGTAAAGATATTTATTACAAAAAAGAATTTATATTAAAAAACATTTGCAAAAAATTTGTAACTAAGGATTGACATTTTTTTAATATCTCAAAAAATGTCTTAATATTTTTGTTATCATGATAACACAAATATCAAGACATTTTTTCGAGATATTAAAAAAAATGTGCCAATGAATGAACAATCTACTTGTATTGTACTAAAAATTACTTCATTAATATTAATACAGAATATAAATGTTTTTTGTAATATAGATTTTTTAAGAATTTTTTACTGAATTTATAATAAAAAACATTTGCAAAAAAATTTGTAATTAAGAATTGACATTTTTTTGAATATCTCAAAAAATGTCATAATATTTTTTTATCATGATGACAAAAATATCAAGACATTTTTTCAAGATTTTAAAAAAAATGTCTGTGCTTTTCTTATTAGTTAAAGGTATATAGATACATTTACCTTTAAGTTATGCGGGGGGGAGGGGGTCGGCACAGAAAAAAAAAATTACCTGTTACTCGCAATATTTGAATGAAGACAATTTGTTAAATTTCTTCTGTGTGCAATTCAATAAGTTTTTTTTTTTTTCATAAATCAAGTTATATTATATAGTAAAGAAATCATGAGTAGACTACAACATCCGCTGATGACACTAATATTACGTTGAATATATTTATATAACGGAGGTTTTATTATGCACGCGCACATTACAGGTTCCGTTCAATAAATACAAAGGCACGTTTTAGTTTAATGACAGTCTCCATTTTTTACTAATGAATATGTATTTTTCTTTATAAAAAAAACAAACTAGTATATAAAAACCTTGTATATTTCTATTATCTCTAAATTGTTTAAAGTTCGAATATGGAATGTATTTTGAAGGACAAAAGATTTACTTTAAAAACTTTTAAATCTTGGGACTTTGCCGATGTGATGATCACAGTAAAAGAAAAGACTTACATTATTAAAATCAAATGTAAGTTATGTGATCTTCATCAAAATCAAATATTATCTGAAAACAATAATGCCGTAAGGGCAACTGCCCAACGGTTTATAAATAACACAAGTCATGTAAAAAAATTTTAACGCTACTATATTTTAATTAAGTTGATATATAATTAAAAATAAAAACATAGTTCAATAAATTTAAGTTGTTAAGAACAAATTAAATTTGTTCTTAACAAAGATTACCTCATATTTATTCTTTTTTTTATTTTATTAAGTTAAATTGCTTACAAACGAAAAAAAAAAAGTTTTGTAACTATACGTAGAATGAAAATACTTTTGAGTTTGTTTATAAGTTAAGGAACTTAATTTTTAATAAACAAATTTTTACAAACGTTTAATTATAAACAGATACTATTCAAATTATTAAATATACTTAAATTATTTCAGTTGAGTATTTTTTTAAGTTTGCACGATTAAAGTTTTGCGTAGAAGTATTTGTTTTTTTGTTTTAAGAATAATTAACAAAAGAGTTTGCATAATTAAGACTTTTATATTTAACTTAATTTTTTTTTTTAATTTCCTAAAATTTAAAAAAAAAGATTTAATCGTTAAAAGCGATTTTTCTCTATAGCTCTGTTTCTTTGTGATTTGTTTGAAAAAAAAAAATATTTTTACAGTAACATAAAAAATTTATGAATTAAATTCCTGGCAAACGTTTTCTAAACTATGTATCAAAAATATGCTCAAAGCAGACAAAACTTTTTTATATTTTTATAAAACGCAAGTTGAAACGCTAAGCAAGATAAACTTAAAAAATATTTAAAAACCTAAATTTTTCTTTGCTAGTCAAAACAAAATCGTTGTTTAAATAATTAACATGAGTTTGTATTTATCAATGTTAATATTTTTTGTTTACTCTAGAAATTTAAAAAAAAAAAAAAAACATTATTTTTTATTCAATAACGATTAAAAACAATTATTCAAAAACAAATTTCAGAAATAATTAAAAAAAAAAAAAAAATACATATATATATATATATATATATATATATATATATATATATATATATATATATATATATATATATATCTGATAATATGAATACGCTAATTTAATATTATTATTACTATTAGTCGAGTTACTTTCTAGGCTTTTCTATTTTAAAGTAATTTCTAGGCTTTTCTATACGCGTTTTTTTTTTTTAATTTTATTTACTAACAATGCGTATTACGGGTTGCTTACTGCTAGTATATATATATATATATATATATATATATATATATATATATATATATATATATATATATATATATATATATATATATATATATATATATATATATATATATATTTTACTAAATAATATTGAACTAAAATTAATAATAAAATAACAATTGAAAACATTACATAATTTTCATAATAAATTTACATTTAAAAACGTTTATAATTATTTGAGTTAATTGTTAAATTAAACTAGTTTGCAGTTATTTATTTATTGCGGTAGTTAAAACACTTAACGTCTATAAAAAAAAAT